AGCAGTCTCGTTTTAAAGTTTTCTTTTCAGAATGTGTAACATTATAGGGAAAAAAATAACATTATTAAATATCTAAGTGCTGATTAGAGTGAAATGCTAATATGCCACAAACCTGGAATGAACCTGTTCAGGTGGAGGTGGAAAGATTCAAGGGAGGTCGAGCCCCTAGCACATCTGTATTTAGTGAGCACTATGCCTCCCTTGGTAGTGGTGGTGCCCATCTCTGTATAGAGCAATACACCTGGCACATCCTGGATGCACTTCACATGTCTCTTTTGAACATGCCAGATGTGCTCAATCCGCACAGTGTCCAGCAGAGGGACACCTAGAAGATCTTTCCCTTTATCCTCCTTTAACTCGTTCAGAAGGTGCTCAATTAGACGGATAGTAGTCTCTACTCCACGAGTCCTTCGGCGGCAGTAGAGGGACAACTCTTTCTTTGTTATCCGCCTGTTCAACAAGTGCCCACTGATGAAAGGCAGCCCTTCAGCCTCCAGTTGCGCTCTCTTCGCCTGACGTAATAGAGCAATGTCATGTGGGTCCCACTCAAATATGCAATCAGATAGCCTTGCCATGAAGGTTGGGTAGAGGGGATGGGCATCCGTGGTGCACCCTGTTGCCAGCCGTCGCATAAAATGCCATATGTCCAGCCTGATGTTAACTGTAGGCCATTCTCCAAATCGGGTTTGAAGCTTGGTCTGTCCTTTCTCAATGCAGCATCCACTGTCCACATACAGGAGCACCGGAGGATCCACACCTGCCTGCTGGTACCTGCTGATAAGGCCTGAGATCATGGAGTCCAGACCAGGTCCATCCTGGGCAGTCAGAACACTGATGAGGATCTGCCCTCTCTCATTGCCAACAGAGGACAGCCATTGTGCTGTCCCTTTGGCTGTTCCTGCCAGCTTTGTTGTGATCTGGAATCAAAAACAAAATGTGAATACAGAACATTAATAATAACACATTGTGTGGCGCATACAATCTCAATGCAATTCAAAAGTTAAAAATTAAGTCAATTAAATTATACCTTTTTTGTTGAGTCCATTTTTAAAATGGACCCAAAAGTAGAAGTGATGCCGGCCTTAATGTGATCCAGTCGGCTGACAATGTCCTTCCCATAAACAGTCAGTAGCCATTTGCTGGTAGGGACTTCAAAAGGTTCTGGAGGCTCCTGGAAAACAACTGGCAAGAAGCTGGGGCAGTCAACAAAGGCTGCACATTCCCCCATGTAGTGTGCCAATCTGTCGAGCCACTCCTCCCCATGGTTCTCCTTTAGTTGTTTAGCCAGTCGGGCAGGGCTATTGCCAAGTGTCCTCTCCCTCAGCAGACGTATGACACGAATGTCACACGCATATCTTTAAATACAAATAGAATTATCTATCTATATAAAAACCACATCAATATATTTGTTTCACACGGAACATCCTTTTCTATCATTAACTGTTCTTTTGTAAAGAACAATTAGTATGGATGGAGTAAAATATGATTTTGTGTAATGTATTTAAATTCTTACTTGTATGTCAAGATGAGGCGAAACAGTCTTCTGTGTGGCAAGTCCAGTTGGTCCAGGACAGTCTGGCTGGTTGACAAGTAATTGGTTCGACAGACAGTACACCTGAGTGTCTCTGTCACCATGAGGTAATACCGGTCAATGTCGAGGACCTTGCGAGCTCTTTTGTGGATGCCGCAACCAGTTAATTGCTTCCCACAGACAGGACATAGCAGTCTAACCTTCCATTGGTGGTAGGGCATCCACACCAGCAGCCTGTGTGTGAAGAAACGGTCTGGAAATGGAGCCTGGTGGTAGATAAGGGAGGGGACTGGAGGCTCATACACGAGCTTCAAGTCTGGCCGAAGTCTGCCAGATTGAAAAAGTGTAGATTCTATCCACCTCTGATCTTGTGAGGGGATCGTCTTCCTCATCTCAGCTGGCAGTGCAGGAATGGAAGAATCAGCAGGAGATGTAGATGGTGCAGGAACAGCCATAAAAGTATGACTTCCAGAAGCAACAGGATCATCCTAAAGACACTCCAGATTAAATTTTTTTTTTGTGATTTATGTTTGTTTCTGTTAATATGCTATAAAACATTCATTATAAAACGGGTAGTTCCAGTCCTTGATTCTGATTGGTTGAGCCGCGTTTGAAGCCGTTGTAAATGAATATTTTTATGGAGTAACCGTTTTATAAAAGCAATAAGCCTCTTGAAGTCATATTTTACAGTGGATTTAGAACATCTAAGGGGGTTTTAGGCACTCCACACTCAACAGCCCTTAGCTGTAGTTCTTAAATCCACAGTAAAACATGGCTTCAAGGGGCTTTTTGCTTTAATATGCAACTTCCCCACACACACACACACACACACACACACACACACACACACACACACACACACACACACATATATATATGCCATTTATAACAAAGTGATTTACAGATGGAGATGGAGATGCACCAGCTCTGACAGATGATGGAGACAGACTAGTTCTCATAGGAGACGAAGAAGGACGAGTTCCCACAGATGTGGAAGGAGAAGTGCTGGTTGTCACAGTGGTTATAGCAGCAGGGCTGTCACTGTGTGATGATGGAACTGATGAAGCAGATGAGGTCTGTACGGACACAAAAAAAAAACAAAAAAATATATATATATATATTAATAATATATGTAATTTTGTAAATAAAAGAACATTTCTTGGAGTGTTTAGGTTCAGTTTGTTTGGCTCTTGGTTTGGAAGATTAAATGTAATTTTATTGTTATTGTGTGGTTTAAAGCATAATACATCAATCTATAAATAAATCACGTGTAAGTCTGATTCACTTCCCACCTGCCTCACTCCATCAAACATCAAACATGCCAATACACAGACAATCCACCCACACAAGGGGTTTGGCATTACCACAGATATGTTAAATGGAGGTCGCCTGGGAGACTTTACAGAGGTTGAGGTAGGGACAGATGTGTGAGCAGGCTGATTACTTGTCACCTAATAAGATCAAAAGAATGACAGATCATTTAGAAAAATAATAATATTAGCCTACCTTTTTATATGTTTGAAAGACTTTTGTTCATACCTTTGGAGCATGGAAGCCGCAAAGACAACTCTGTGGTCCACCAAAAAGAGATGCTTGCCCACGGACCTGCCTTGGGCATTTATCTATCTGTTACAGTAAAAACATGTTGTCAGCTTATAAGCAGTATTGTATGTACATTTCATTTTTTCATGCATGTTGTCCCATTAACATTTGCCAGTACGTACCCTCTGAAATAGCTCATACCACTTCTTTTGACGAGGAGCAGGTCTGTTGCCAGCTTCAGAGGGCCATACCCCTGTGTTGGCAAACCGCCGCAGGCGAGACATCCACTCCTCATCCCCTAAGCCCTTGTGTGATTTAGGCTTTGACATGTCTGCAATGTATGAAACTACAAAAACCTCATGAAAATAAACACTGACCAGATCATTCTCAAACAGACAATTTGTATATTTTTTAAATAAATATATAATTAACATGTATTACTTTATTGCTATTTTTTTCTTTAAAAAAAGCAAATTTGCAAACTATACTTGCCATTTTATATTTGTAATAGTTTTTAATTGTACAGTTCATCTTTTCCTTTCGTTTTACTAACTTTTATGACGAAAAAAAAACATGAATAGAAGGTATTAAAAAAGAGAGAATAAAATTGACAATAACTAACGTTACAGAATATTTACACTCAACAATTTCACAATGCTCTGAATATATTTAATTTTTTCAACAAATTTAATCTCTAAAAATGCTGCTACAAATCACAAATTGACAAATCAATTTGTTCTAACCACTATAATTTATCTTTTTATCATATTTCTCTTTAAAATGTACATATTTTTCTTCCATTTTCCAGATTGAAGAATAGTAACATTAAAGTACCAACTTAGTAGCGTTAGCTTCACACTTTTACATTACACTCTAACTGGTTTAGCAAAAATACATAGTTCTGGCCAACTAATCAGAATGAAGACATTTTGAAATTAAAATAAAAAATACAATAGTTAACGTTACCACAAATCCGTTAAATCCGTAAAAATTGAGTTCGATACAGCATTCACTTCACAATGTGATGATGCTACTGTTCTAACGGAAGATTTTCGCGCGCCTCAATATGAATGATGATTCGCGATTGGTCTTTACTTTATTGAGGTAAGATCATTGGCCAAGAAGGATCTGTCAATCTGATTCGTTCTGGTTGTGAATCCAAGGTCAATGTCTTTGTGGTATCATATAATAGTGATATTTCACTGGAATTTCAAATTGTTTCATAAGTTTATTAATGTTTTTCTCATTGTATGGATACATGTTTATATTTAATTATTACCCATATGAATATGGATTTCCTTGAAATGTAAAATATTAGATATACAGGCCTATAATATTAATAATATATAAGCCTATAATAATAATAATGGTTCAGCTGCGTTTGGCAAAATCAGTGTTTTGTCTTGCAGAATGATTAATGATAAGAAGTTATTTCTATATTTATATGTGTTGTTTGTATGTATGTATGTATGTATGTATTTTACATATTTGCTTGAGAAAAAAAATACCCAATTCATTAATACAATCTAATATAAACATGAAAGAAATTAGAATTGAAAGTACTGAAACAATGCACTTGTCTTCTCTGAGTGAATGTTGGCAAAAAATAAACGATTGCTGTTTAAATATATTAAACATTTATTACAAAATATACATCATAGTTATTTCTTTCTCTCAAACAGTAAGCATGGCAAATATATATAAAAAGAATCGAATAATTAAATATAAAATACAAATATTAAATAAATAAAAAAATCAAATAAAAAAATAGTTAAGGTAGAAGATTCAGGTCAACTGTTAAAAAAATAAAACAAAATCAACACTTCTTACAAGGCTCACACCAAAAACTGTAATATACAGGGTTTTTCTTCTGTTATATTATTTATATTTGAAATGCCAAACCAATGTGGAATAATTATTGGACAGTTTATTTCTTAACTGCCCTCTTCCTCCGCATCTCCTCCATCCACTGGTCAAGTGAAACACCAGCATTTTGGGGACAGTATATGGACCCATAATACTGGCTGTGGCCACTTTCTTTGTTGCGGGGCTGTTGGCACTGACTGCATTTATTTTTTTCAATTTTCCGATAGTAGGTCCTCCGGGCAGGTGGTGTGGAGGAAAGCGTGCCAGCAGGTGTAATCCGTTTCGATGCATTGGCTTGTGGGGTCGAAAACACATACACGAGAGGGTTACTGGCAGTCCTGGGGCAGAAGACAGTAGGCAAAGGGGCAGGGGTAGGTGGAGATGTATGCTGTGGGAACAACAGCCTCTCAGCTGGCAACCTTGGGCAGACAGACTGGAGAGAATGTGTGCGTTGGGCCGGAGCTGCAGACTTCCTCTTGACCACTGCTTGTCCTGCTGTACTTTGAGGCAAGTGGTATTGATGTTGAGGGCCAGGCTGTGATGGTGCAACAGTGGGCCGTACCTGTACTGGTGGGAGAGGTACGGGAGCAACAGGAATGGAGGCAGGCAAGTTGACCCCTTGTAGTAGAATATTACATTCCTGCCTCTTCAGTCGCTTGTTGTGCCATTGAACTAGAGTTGTTTGATTAACATCAAATAACTGCAAAGTAGTGCTCTGCATGACTGCACCATTACCCAGGACTTGCTGTCTGATCCTGCTGTAGTCTCTGAGAATTAGAGTCCATCTAGTAAGTGCATATGTACCCTGTTTTTTTGGACATTTATGGATGTCACAAAGTTTAACAAAAATGCACTCTACCAGACGACAACAGTCTGGCCACTGGGCAGGGGATCCTGTCGATCCTAGGACGCAACGTGTCATGCTCTCCACACCTGGCGTAAATTCAGGTTTCTTCTTAGAGCACCTGAAGCGTCCTGTTGTCAGGCGCGACTTGTACCGTGCAGGGTATTCCACACGCTGCTGGTCATATGGTAGAAGGTTCTGCCACAGAGCTATGATGGTACTGGCCTGCTGGGAGTTAAGGGTTTGTCCAGTTTCATTCCTCAGTCCCACCAAGTACTCTGCCAGGCTGTCCACTCTGTCCATCCCTGGGATACTGCGCTCATCCACAACCTGGTAAATATATGAATATATAAAAATAAAATAACAACATCACAGGCAGAAAAATAGCACATCTTTCACACTGTTTGCATGTCACAAAAGACCTACCAGCTCTTTCTGTGGTGCTGCTGGAGTCATGGCAGGTGTCACAGAGGGACTTGTATTTGTAGCAGTGGGAAGAGAGCCTAAGACGATAGGAAAGTACGGAGGAACATAGGATGGGCTGGTGGGCACAGCTGTTGGGGCAGAGGGTGCTGTGGTGTCCTCATTTGAAACCTGTTAAATGTAATAATAATAATAATAAATAATAACTAGAATGTACATTTCCAGAGGAAAATGTGAAGTGGTGCTTGCAGTGGCAAAACTCACCACCCGGTTGCTAGGGTGTTATGGCTGGTTGCTATGGTGTTCTGGGTGGTTGCTAGGCGGTTGCTAGGGTATTATTGTTGGTTGCTAAGTTGTTCTGGGTGTTGCTAGGTGGTTGCTATGTGGTTGCTAGGGTATTCTGGGTGGTTGCTAGGGTGTTGCTAGGTGGTTGCTAGGGTGTTTTGGGTGGTTGCTAGGGTGTTGCTAGGCGGTTGCTAGGGTGTTCTGGGTGGTTGCTAGGGTGTTGCTAGGTGGTTGCTAGGGTGTTATGGGTGGTTGCTAGGGTGTTATGGGTGGTTGCTATGGTGTTGATGGGCGGTTGCTAGGGTATTCTGGGTGGTTGCTAGGGTGTTCTTGGTGGTTGCTAGGGTGTTCTGGGTGGTTGCTATGGTGTTGTTAGGCGGTTGCTAGGGTATTCTGGGTGGTTGCTAGGGTGTTGCTAGTGTGTTTTGGGTGGTTGCTAGGTTGTTGGTAGGAGGTTGGTAGTTGTCACAGATGGTTACTATGAAGTTTGTAGCATTTTCTTGGCATGATTTAACACTTAGCTAATCAATATTAGCATGTAGCTATTCTCTGCTAGCATGTGTAGCATGTAGCAAGTCATGTTTGCTAGCATGAGTAAAAAGAGCCAACCCCCATCTCTATACGATGTTTTGATGCAGAGATGTAGGTCTTACAAAATGGTTGCTAGGGTACTCTGTTTGGTTGCTAGGGAGTGGCTTAGCAGCTGCCAATCATGAAGCCCCAAAGTCAATGTGAATGTATGAACCAACCCCCATCTCTATACGATGTTTTGATGCAGAGATAAAGTCTTGCAAAATGGTTGCTAGGGTACTCTGTTTGGTTGCTAGGGAGTGGCTTAGCAGCTGCCAATCATGAAGCTCCAAAGTCAATGTGAATGTATAAACCAACCCCCATCTCTATACGATGTTTTGATGCAGAGATATAGGTTGTGCAAAATGGTTGCTAGGGTACTCTGTTTGGTTGCTAGGGAGTGGCTTGGCAGCTGCCAATCATGAAACTCCACAGGATGCTTGTCAGTATGAATGATATAAACCAACTCCCATGCCTCTATGACATTCAGAATGGAAGATATCCCTCTTTGGATTTTGGTTGCTAAGGTGCTCTACAATGGTTGCTAGGGCGTTGCCAGTAAGTGTTGAGGTGATTCAGGATTGGCTGTTTGCTTGCCCAAGTCAAACGAGCCCACCCTCATGTTTCTATGACACTTATATCCTGAGATATCCATTTGATCTCTTTCAATGGAAGTCTATGGGAGTTGTTGCTAAGGTGCTCTAAATGGTTGCTAGGGCGTGGCTTAATAGCTTCACAATGATCCTGAGAGACTGATTGGTCATCTGAGTAAAATGAGCCCGCCCCCTTGTCTCTATGACACTGTGATCCAGAGCTATGTTCAATACAAAATCCCTATGCAATTTACCATATTAGGAAAAACACATGCATTTGATGGGACGTCCTTCACCATAGTAAGTCAATGGGGAAAACTTTAGGCAGCTCCTGCCCCCCAGGGGTGCAACTTTTACCCCATTGTGTGGTATGTTCTTAAAGAGCCTGCCAGCCTCTTTAAATGTGGCAAATCTCACATTTGTCCGAAATCCTTGTTTGGAGCTACGAGTCGTCAAAGTTTGTCTCAATGTTAAGTCTATGGGATTTTTTGGAAATTTGTTCGCCCCTGGGGCGAACACCGTACCCCTGATCTCTTATAAAATTAATATGACACTTCTCCTCAATAGGCCGCACGATTTGATGCCTCATTCATGGGTCTGTGACAAAAAATGTGGACGTAGGAGTGCTCCAAACTTTTTCCTGGAATAGTAAAATGCTATACTAGAAAATTTCAATGGAAAAAATTTTTGGGGAGCTCCTGCCCCCAGGGGTGCAACTTTTACCCCATTGTGAGGTATTTTCTTAAAGAGCCTGTCAGCCTCTTCAAATGTGGTAAATTGCAAGTTTCTGCGAAATCCTCGCTCAGAGCTATGACTCGTCAAATTTTTTCACCATGTTAAGTCTATGGGATTTTTTTTGGCCGTTTTTCGCCCCTGGGGCGAACATCGTACCCCCGATCTCTTAGAAAAGTCATAGCACACCATTCCCGAATAATCCGCACGTTTTGACACCTCACCCATGGGTCTGTGACAAAAGCTGCGGGAGGAGTAGCGCGTCAAAAAGTGACCAGAACAATAAGAATAAGAACTAGAATGTACATTTCCAGAGGAAAATGTGAAGTGGTGCTTGCAGTGGCAAAACTCACCACCCGGTTGCTAGAGTGTGGTACAGAATTGCATATGAGACAACAACCATGTCTGTACGATGTTCTGGTGCTGAGATGTGGCTTATTCATGTGTTTGTAGGGTTACTAGGGTAGCCTATATGGTTGCTATGGTGTGATTATACAGTTTATGAGATGGTATTTAAAGACTAGATGACAGTCTGAGTCAAAAAAGGCAAACTCTATGTTCCTACTATTTTCTGGAGCTGAGATATGTCTTGAATATGTTGTTTTATGGTTGCTAGGCTGCCCTAAGTGGTTGCTAGGGCATGAATATGAAGTTATTATGTCACTAATTGTTAGCTGCATGATAAGCCGAGTCAAAAGAGCCCAACCCCAAGTCTCTATGACCTTCTGGTCAAAAGATATGATCTCACAAATTTGGTGCCAATGTTAAGTCTATGGGATTTTTTTCGGCAGATTTATCGCCCGCCAGACGAACATCGTACAACCGATCGCTTAGAAAAGTCATAGCACACCTCTCCTAAATGAGCCGGTCGATTTGACACCTCATTCATGGGTCTACAACAAAAAATGCGGGAGGAGTAGCGTGCCAAAGTTTTGTCTTGGAGAATAGTATTCACAACACTAGAATGTACATTTCCAGAGGAAAATGTGAAGTGGTGCTTGCAGTGGCAAAAAGCTCGCTCGGTTGCTAGGGTGTTCTGGGTGGTTGCTAGGGTGTTGCTAGGTGGTTGCTAGGGTGTTCTGGGTGGTTGCTAGGGTGTTGCTAGGCGGTTGCTAGGGTGTTCTGGGTGGTTGCTATGGTGTTGCTAGGTGGTTGCTAGGGTGTTCTGAGTGGTTGCTAGGGTGTTGCTAGGTGGTTGCTAAGGTGTTCTAGGTGGTTGCTAGGGTGTTATAGATGGTTGCCAGGGTGTTGCTAGGTGGTTGCTAGGGTTTCTGGTGGTTGCTAGGGTGTTGCTATGTGGTTGCTAGGGTGTTCTATATGGTTGCCAGGGTGTTGCTAGGCGGTTGCTAGGGTGTTCTGGGTGGTTGCTAGGGTGTTATAGATGGTTGCTAGGGTATTGGTAGGTGGTTGCTAGGGTGTTCTGGGTGGTTGCTAGGGTGTTGCTAGGTGTTCTGGTTGGTTGCTAGGGTGTTGCTAGGCGGTTGCTAGGGTGTTCTGTGTGGTTGCTAGGGTGTTGCTAGGTGGTTGCTAGGTATTCTTGGTGGTTGCTAGGGTGTTGCTAGGTGGTTGCTAGGGTATTCTGGGTGGTTGCTATGGTGTTACTAGGTGGTTGGTAGTGTTCACATATGGTTACTATAGAGTTTTTATAACATTCATGGCATGATTTAGCACTTAGCTAATCAATATTAGCATGTAGCTATTCACTGCTAGCATGTGTAGCATGTAGCAAGTCATGTTTGCTAACATGAGTAAAAAGAGCCAAACCCCATCTCTATACGATGTTTTGATGCAGAGATATAGGTCTTGAAAAACGGTTGCTAGGGTACTCTGTTTGGTTGCTAGGGAGTGGCTTGGCAGCTGCCAATCATGAAGCTCCAAAGTCAATGTGAATGTTTAAACCAACCCCCATCTCTATACGATGTTTTGATGCAGAGATATAGGTCTTGCAAAACGGTTGCTAGGGTACTCTGTTTGGTTGCTAGGGAGTGGCTTGGCAGCTTCCAATCATGAAGCTCCAAAGTCAATGTGAATGTATAAACCAACCCCCATCTCTATACGATGTTCTGATGCAGAGATGTAGGCCTTGCAAAATGGTTGCTAGGGTACTCTTTTTGGTTGCTAGGGAGTGGCTTGGCAGCTGCCAATCATGAATCTCCAAAGGCTGCTTGTCAGTATAATTGATATAATACAACTCCCAAGCCTGTATGACATTCACAATGGAAGATATCCCTCTTTAAAATTTGGTTGCTAAGGTGCTCGACAATGGTTGCTAGGGTGTGGCCAGAAATTGTTGAGGTGATTCATGATTGGCTGTTTGCTACCCCGAGTCAAACGAGACCACCCTTGTGTTTCTATGACACTTCTATCCGGAGATATCCCTTTGATCTCTTTCAATGGAAGTCTATGGGAGTTGTTGCTAAGGTGCTCTATATGGTTGCTAGGGCGTGGCTTGATAGCATCACAATGATCCTGAGAGACTGATTGGTCGTCTGAGTAAAATGAGCCCGCCCCCTTGTCTCTATGACACTGTGATCCAGAGCTATGTTCAATACAAAATCCCTATGCAATTTACCATAGTAGGAAAAACACATGCATTTGATGGGACGTCCTTCACCATAGTAAGTCAATGGGGAAAAATTTTGGGCAGCTCCTGCCCCCCAGGGGTGCAACTTTTACCCCATTGTGAGGTATATTCTTACAGAGGCTGCCAGGCTCTTCAAATGTGGAAAATCACACATTTTTCCGAAATCGTTGTTCGGAGCTATGAGTCGTCAAAGTTTGTCTCAATGTTAAGTCTATGGGATTTTTTGGAAATTTGTTCGCCCCTGGGGCGAGCACCGTACCCCTGATCTCTAATAAAATTCATTTGACACTTCTCCTCAATAGGCCGCACGATTTGATGCCTCATTCATGGGTCTGTGACAAAAAATGTGGACGTAGGAGTGCTCCAA